CCTTCCTTTCAGCTTTGAGCTAGCTGCGTCATCACATCTGGGGCTAGTTGAACTTATCCTCTGCTCCTCCCCAGTAGCATTTTGGCCATCTTCCGATCTGGGAGTCCCATCTTCCAATGGCATACCGACATATCTCTGGTTGTACTGGTCCATTTAGTTTTCTTGGCAAGGATACTGGAGTGGTTTGCCATTGCCTTCCCCAGGGATCACGCTTGGTCTGACCTCTCTGCCACAAACGTCCCGTCTTGGGTGGCCCTTCACGGTTTCGCTCATGACATCATTGAGGTGCTCAAGCTCCAGCGCCCCGACAAGGCGGTGATCCTTTGCTGGAGGCCTTTAGACAACAGACAGTTAAATACATTTCAGTTAAAATTTAAAATTAGAGTTAAAATGCACATTAAAAAATATAAACATTATAATCATTATTAAAATCACGCCATCTACAATTTCCATCAAGATGTATGTAGCCAAGTTCTTCAAAAATTATTGATGTATGGTATATTATCTAGAATTTATTGCTTTAGGTTTGTTAATAATCCAGAAAGTTTCAGAGCTACTCTGAATAATTCCTCTTCCTAAGTTTCCCAGAACACGACAAGATACATCCAATATTGTAATAACATAACATAATTACATATTTAGATAGATAGGTAGAAATACACACACTTTCCATTGAGAGTCTCCGCCCTGGAGATAAGGTGGAATATAAATAAAGTTTTATTATTATTTCTTTTTATATTCTGTTCATATTCATTATATTTTATTTTACACTAGACTGGATCTCGAATTGTGTGAATAGAAACCTGCTAACGCAAGATGTTTTTCACATCATTTCTTCTCCCTTTCAGCTTCCTATCTACTCTCAAATGCCTCACTGTGAGATAACAGGACCATCCTGATCAACATCAACTATGACAGTGAGCAGTGAGAGGGGGAAGCTACCCAAAGCTAGAAACAAGTGTCCTGAACCAACAAGGTTGTGGTTGCATAGTGTCTTTCCATACTCAGTTTTCAGGAGGGTTTGCCTTGAATTTCTCTCACTCTGCAGACTTGCAAAATCTGCTTTTGAAAGTTGGAGAAACCTCCAGAATGGTATGGCATGTGATAGGGAAGAAACAAAGAATTCAGGGAGCACACCACTCCCCTGTTGTGTCAGCTCCACTGGCTGCCAGTCCACTTCTGAGCATAATTCAAAATGCTGGTCTTGGCTATAAAGCCCTATACGGCTCTGGCCCAGCTTACTTGTCCAAACGTATCTCCCTCTACGTTCCACCTCGTAGTTTAAGATCGACCAGGGAAACCCTGCTCTTGGTCCCACCAGCCTCACAAACACATTTGGTGGGGACGAGGGACAGAGTCTTCTCAGTGGTGACCCTCCGCCTGTGAAACTCGCTCCCCAGTGAGATTAGGTCAGCTTTGTCTCGCCTTTCTTTCAGGAAGAAACTGAAATTATGGTTTTGGGACCAGGCTTTTGGACAGCAGGCATGACAGTACTTTGGATGTTGAACTGGACATGGCTATATGATATGATTTGATAATAATGTTTTAAACTGTTTTTAACTTACTGTTTTATTTATCATTTTAAATTGCTGTTATATTTGTCATATTTGTTGCGGCATCAAATTTTTGCCAGTGTAAGCTGCTCTGAATCTCCCCTTGTGGGTTGAGAAGGGCAGGGTAGAAATGTTGGAAATAAATAAATAAATAAATAACAGAATTCAAGTCAGATCAGTTTGTATGTTTTTTCTGTAGGAGAAATCTCCTTTGCATTTAATTTATACTCTGTCCAAAAAAACAAAGTCAGATGCATTAATGTATGTATATCATCATCATTATATATATATCCTTATTTATAGTTTAAAGTGAGCTTTTGTATCCCAAATCTAGTAAAATTCATCTGATATCTACTCCAGTACTTGACCCATTACCCTTCTTGCATTTAATAACCCACAGTTTACTAGAAACCAAGAAATCTTATTTGGCTTTAACAGTGGAGAGGACATCCAGGAGTGGCCATATCCTGCTACAGATATCTATCTCAAATACAACACAATCAACAGCTGAGAAGATAGAAGACCCTCCCTAATCAATGGAAACATCTTTTTGAACCCCCTGCATTCTGTAGGTGGACGATTTTAATATATATCTAATTGTAAGCCTAAACCCAGTGAGATTGTCAAAAATATTGACTCAGCAGTATGCCCAAAGGTTGCCTGGGCAGGGAGATTTCTTCAGGAGTCAAGGCATACAGAGATAAATGTAACTATTATATCAGGGTCATGTGAGCCTTGAGATATTGTTGAGCTGCAACTTACCCCTGCCTGGGAGGGGGTTGGACTGGATGATCCCTGTAGTCTCTTCCAACTCTATGATTCTAACTCCCAGTAGTTCTGACCAGCATAAGCAAGGGTAAGGGAAGCTAAGACTTGCAGTTTAACAACATCTGGAGACAATTCCCATCCCTACTGAATGCTAATAGAGAATTCCGTTTTCAGAGTGTGGGCTCTTGCACAACCAAAACAATAGTACCCATTGCAGAAGCTTGAAAGAACCAAAAATCTGCAAAGAATATTTAGGGGTAAACCCTTTAAAGAGATGGAATGTAAAATAGATGAACAAGGATTAAACATATCCAATGTGGGCAAAGCAAAAATTAATGTGATGGGAGAAGGGAGCATTCTAAGACAGGAAGGCTAGCATCCCTCTGGATTTCATTGCAGATTCTTCTTGTGCATACTAAAATCCAAACTCAAGACCAAAGAGTTCCAACAAAAATGCTTAAATGTGTCTGATCGCTATTTCTTGCATCCGGGTTGATAATAAACATTAGTCAAATGTGCTATTACAATGAAGTGTAAACAGAATGTCCATCCTGTAGAACAGGGGTCCTCAAACTAAGGCCCGAGGGCCGGATGCGGCCCTCCAAGGTCATTTACCTGGCCCTCGCTCAGGGTCAACCTAAGTATGAAACTACTTGAATGCACACAATAACAACAACAATCATATCTCATCAGCCAAAAGTAGGCCCACATTTTCCATTGAAATACTAATATGTTTATATTTGTTAAAATTGTTCTTAATTTTAATTATTGTATTGTTTTAAATGTTTTTGCACTATAAATAAGATATGTGCAGTGTGCATAGGAATTCATTCATATTTTAAAAAATTATAATCCGGCCCGCCAACAGTTTGAGGGACTGTGACCTGGCCCTCTGTTTAAAAAGTTTGTGGACCCCTGCTATAGAATATGGTCTATATAGTTTGGATATAGCAGACATTATTGATATTAAATTTTCTCATTTAAAAATGGGGTTAATTAATCATTTGAACAGTTCTAAGGTAAAAGATAAATTACAATGTGTTGTCAAAGGCTTTCATGGCCAGAATCACTGGGTTGCTATAAGTTTTTCTGGAACATGGCCATACAACCCAAACAAACTTACAGCAACCCAATAAATTCCAACATTTCTCATCTTCAAATCTTATATTTGTTTAGAAATATGTACTTGGCAATTGTACATACAATAATATCCTCCATAACTGATACACAATTTTGTTCTGTGAATCAAACAAATTAAGTGTATATGATATAATCAAACACCTCATAATAAGACATTGTAATTGCCTGCCTTTTTTCTTTTCTGGTGTTCCAATCCAGCATGAAGCAGAGAAGAAATTGTAAAGAAATTAATATTTTTAAGCCTTGAGGCACAAGACAGCCATACTCTAGTTTGACATATGCTACATGGGCACAACCACACAAAGCTTCAATGGGATCTTCTAGCCAGGGTATTTAAGCTTGGAGAAGAGAAGACTGAGGGGTGCCATGATAGCTGACTTCAAAATCTGATGTGGAGTCAGGCCTGCACAACCTGCAACCCCCACCCCCCCTTCAGATGTTTGGGTCTCCAACTTCCAGAAGCTCTAGCCAGCTTCTAGGGAGCTTAATGATCAAGAATTCTGGGAGCTAAAGTTCAAAACACCTGGAGGGCCACAGGTTACAGTAGCCTGATGCAACATGACTGATTGCTGCTGCTCCAGAGATGAGAATATGAATTAATGGATTCAGATTACAAAGAATAATTTCTTTACTGGAAGAGTTGTCCCACAGTGGAATAGACTGTCTCACAGGGTGGTGAAGTCTCCATCTTGGGAGTTTTAAACAGAGGCTGGGCATCTTTAACGGGTGTTTAAGTTGTGTATTCCTGCACTTCAGTAGTTTGGCTAGATGGTCCCTGCAAAACCTTCCGATTCTAAGATTTGACAATTCTATGATTCAATGGATCCAGCTTGAAGCCACAGCATGGACCCCATAAAGCTGATATAAACTGTCTTACATCAAAACAGTGCTCTACATGGCTTTATGTACTTTATCATCATTGTTGTTATTGTTGATTTTTCTTTCTAATGATTAGTCAAGGAAGTTCAACATTCAAGGTAGAATTTGAATGTGATGCCAAAAACAGTCATAAGTAGTCAAGTAAATATTGAGTGTCCTCAGGGTATGCTCTTTCTGTTAATCACTTTTAATGAACATGAAACAGATTACGTGACAAAAATGAACATGCAGTCTTGAAGAAATTAATTAACAAGAAGTAAAAAAGAAGAAATAGTTTTTAACATTGTGACCTTATTGCCCAGGACCCAAGACATGGGAGTCAGATGGGTCTCATGCTCCATAAGAAGTCTCCTAGAAGTTTGCAAGAGGATTCAAATCATTTAGAAGAAGCAAACCAAGCAGAGGTTTAAGAAGAGGAAACAGCCTATGGGAAGGTGTTCTTCAAGTATAAGATAATAAAAGCACAGAGAAAAGAGAAAATCAAAGGAGAGCCTCATGCAAAGTGTGACGATCATGACTCTGTCTTTGTATGTGTTCATACTCGAGTCATGAAAAGGTCTAGACTGAGGTTTAAAACTAGAAAGGAAAGGGTCGTGCAAAGTAAATACTAAGCACTACACACTACAAACTCAGCTTCTCAGCAACAGTGCTGTCACATACCTGAAATATCACAGCTGGATCAATACATAAAGATGGTTCTTTCTGCAAGAAGCAAGGTAAAGCACAAAACAATCCATTCACTTAAGAACTTTTGATAAATCCCTTTCCACTCTGGAATATGAGATAGTTTTCTAGCAATTACTAATATAATTCTCCCCCGATCTTGAAATAAATGAATAGAAATGAGCTTTTTTAAATCTTCCACTCATTATAATTGGGCATGAGCAGGATCAGTTCCTCTGACTTCTTGTGTCAATCTTATGTGATCACCCTATATGCCTTTTTACAAAAAATGTTTCAAGGATTTTTATTGCAAGGAGAATCTGGTGCAAATTAAAGAGAAACCACAGCAAGGAATCTAAAAGAATATCTCTCCAATTCTTAAGAATACCTTTCTTCTAGTTTTAAGGAATAAAAGTATGAACTAAGTGTTAACTAGAGCATTTGGAGTAGCCAAACATCACAATCCGAAGAGAACCTTTGAGCATATACCTCAAAGGGCTTATTGTCTTGTATCAAAATTTCTGTTTCAGATGAATTTTCCAAACACTCTTTTTAATGTTCTCCTAAATTTCACTAACATAATATAAAATCGGTAACATAAGCAGGAGGGTGATATTACATTCATGTTCTACCACTGGGGTCCCCATATAAGTACGTGGCTGGTCACTACAGCAATACTGAGGAATGGAAAGCTCACGCACTTGCCTTTTTTGTGGTTCTGGGGTAAAAACACACACATTTAAAAAAATTAAATCAGAGATATATCTAGGCAGCATGGAGTAAGCTGTCCGCATTTTAAACTCCTGTGGACCGCTTTAGGCCAAAGGAAGCCTTTTTCCAAATCAGGAATTACTCATTTGTGAAAAGGCAGTTCCTGGGGCTAAAACAGCCTGGGAGGAGCCTAAAAATTATAACAAAAGTACTCTCTAGATAATGTAAGAGGCATTATTAGTACAGAAGAATTGAAAATTCAAATCAAACTGAGATTAGGACACAAAGTTCTCAGGCTTTGGATAGCTGGCTACCCCAAGACTATGGCAAGAGAATAATGACTAGATACGCCTTTTGCCTGGTTTAGCACAATTCTTACATGCTTGTTATGGATATCAGCTATCGGATGGCCTGTTTCCAAAGAGATGGTATTTTGCTTCTAGTGTTACATATCAAACACATCCCATTGGACAGAAGAAATATTCAGCACCTTTTTGCTCTAATCTGAATATTTTATTTTTACTGAAAGCAAACTGAAAGTAGTCAGGTACTGAAAGGACAGCAGTGGAAGATAAGGGGCTTTCAGGAGCAAAGTGGGAAGATAGATATTGCAGAGCTACAGCTTTTTCATCTCACACAGTGGCAAAGCATCTATCTAGGAAAAAAATGACACACCAGAGTAGAAAGATAAGATCAATTACACAGACACTACCTGGAAAGGTAAGGAAGATCTGGAGAAAGGAACTAGTTGAACCACAACAGGGGTAAGAATTGCAAGTTTGCTAAGAATGAAAGCGGATAGGGTCAGAGTGAAAAACCAAGAAAATCAGCTTCAGGCATGTGGTGAATTGCTGAAGAAAATCTACCAAGTTTCTATAACGATTTATAGAAACTGAAAAGGTTAGAGTGAGGTGAAGAGTCAGAATAAAGCTGTTGGTCCAAGGAAACTGTAGCTTCCTAAAGAGGAAGAAAAAAGAAGCAGATCCTACTTTCTCCCTAAGGCCAACTTCAACATGACCTAACCTTGTGGGAGGGTGAAGGGCAGAAAGAGAGAGAAAAAGAGTGCACAAATGGTGATTATATCCAAGAAGCATCCTCTATTAAAGAAGAAGCATCCTCTATTATTGCTGGTACCAAAGTCAAAATATAGTCTGGATCCATTTGCCACAGAAAGACAAAACAAGATTTTGGATTAAAAATTGGAGAATCACCATATAAACTGGTGTTATGGGCCAAAAATGTAACTTTTATAAGGGATAAGGCAAAACAAATGTGACTCTCCTCCTTTCTGCCACTACTTTACACAAGGTGGAGCCTTGTCGCTTCAGGAAATAGAAACTAAGAAGGAAGTTGTTGCAGGGAAGGAGTAAAAGAAATAGTCATCCCTTTCTCTCACTTGCAAGCTGTTTTGATAAGCAGCTCTCAGAGGCAATGAGGTCACTCTGGAGGAGGAGGAGGAGGAGGAGGAGGAGGAGGAGGAGGAGGAGGAGGAGGAGGAGGAGGAGGAGGAGGAGGAGGAGGAATAATAAACACTATCATTATATGCTCTGGCCATGATCCAGCAAACCACCAGAAGGAGCTCAATCACTGTGAAGAAGATAAATCAGTAAAAACATCTTGCCCAAGGCTGCCCAACAACAGAAATAATATCTTCCTGGTAAGATCTGTTTGAGAGTTTAATAGGCTACCTCAGAGGGTGGTCTTTGGGAGCCTTTATGCATGGCCATCTCTCAGGAGTGTTTTAGCTGAGTATTCCTGTCTGGAAGTAGGCTGGATAGATGGTACTTGAGAATCCTTCCATCTCAACAACTCTGGGATTCTAAAGACTCTTCCCACCACCAGTCATTCCAAAAAATCTAGCAATGCAATTCCCAGAAGGCCTCTGGTTTACTTTTACCTGATAGCCTGATAAAATATTTTTCAATTTCAAAAGCAATATGCTGTATGTTGTTCATTTTCCATGGATACGGGGTTTGATACTTGCAAGGTGTATTTCCCCCTATTCCTGATCCCATAAATTAAACAACACAATCCCATAATGAAGAAGGACATAAAATCAAACTTCCTATCCCAAGGATATCAAATAAAAATGCTACTTGTTTTTGCATGCTGTTGTGGCTTATATTGCACCAGCCCACTCATGATTTTCATCTCACGATCACAGCATTTTGGAATGTCATCAGAGCTAACCATATAAACTGAGCAACAGTGTCTAAGATGATTTATTCATTTTGGGGCGGGGGGTGCCGCTCTTGTAGTGATGTATAAAAATGATTGGAATTCATTATATTTTCTGTTCAAAAATGTGGGTAAACTTTAAACAGAACTCAAATAGTGACAGCCTACTGATTAAATTAATGTGTAGTTATCAGAGCTTGGAAACTTTCTTGGTAGCTGAGTATTATAGTCCCAAAAGGTAACTTTTCCCAAGGTTTGGTAGTAGTACTCACCTCAGGATTCATATACATTGTATAATTAATGCAGCTTGATACAATTTTAATTGTCATGACTCAATGCTATGGAACCATAGAGATGTAGTTTTATAAGGTCTATAGCCTTCTTTGCCAAAGAGTGCTGGGACATTACCAAACTACAAATCCCAGGATTCCATAGCACTGATGCATGGCAGTTAATCTGGTATTAAACTGTATTAATTATACAGTGTAGATGCACCCTTAGCCTCAGTTCCTATCCTACTATGAATACACAAAGCAACAATTCTAAAGCATTCAGTCACACTACTAAAAATGCTGCCACCTATGATAATATTAGTGCTACCTCAAACTAAATGATACAATTATTTAAATAAATAAAATCTGAAAATTGCTGTAAGAACTGTATGTTTATGACTGTATACATGCCATTTCAAACATATGTATATATGTGGGTATAGTGTGCATGATCCATAATATGGAGAAACATATCTTCATCCGCTACCAGTTCACAGTAATTTTCCTTTCTAAAAGAAACTTATCCCAGACAATGAATGATGAAAACAAGAGAAAGATTAAGATGCTTTGAAAGTCTAAGCAAGTGAAAGTACAGAAGTATGGTGGCCATTTTCCTTTCCTGCTTTTTAAAATTTCAAAATCAGTTTGTCACATTTCTTGCAAAAGGCATGTCATGAAGGAAGATGCCCTTTAAAAAGTTTGGGGGGAAATGTATTTGTGAGGAAAACACTGGAAAACCAAAAATTAGCTACTTTGATACAAGAATAAACATTGAAACTTTGCCCCTTCACATAATGCCTTTACAAAGTAGCAGCATCTAGTAAAAGCCTCTAGTTTTTATAATGGAAAATGCATGAGTTTGCACACTTGAGTAGCCATCTGCACCTTGTTTCTAAATGAATGCAAGTTGCCTACACTAAGTATGGGCTTGCATTTATTTAGAAACAAGGTGCAGATGGCTACTCAACTGTCCATACCCATGCATTTTCTAAAATAAAAACTAAAGGCTGTTTCACACTTAAAGCCATAAGCACAATAGTAACTCTCACACAAGCATTACATATCCTACTGGCAAGCATTCAAAGGCCATACCTTCATCTCTATGACAGTCTGAAGAGCTTTCGTCTTGGCTGGCTCAGGCTGTAGTTGAGTCCTTCTGTGCAGTTCCTGTGGAGGGACACGATAGAAGTAAGCTTGGCGACTCATCTTCCCATTATTTTGCTAATAATGCAGATCTTTTCACAGCTCACAGCAGAATTCGAACTTCACAAGCCCTACACAAGCCCAAATGCTACAGGTGCCTTGCCGTCTACAAATCCCTCTAGGATCACCACAGCCTCTATCTTCTATTACAGGCAGGGTTGCCAGCACATGCGCTATTTCTGAAACCTTTTTCAATAATTAATGTCAACTGTGACAAAAGCAGCATGTTGTCTTTGGACTAAAAGATATTACAACACAGCTGCCTCTCTGCCCAGGCACCAAGTAATAAGTCTTTCAATCATAGTACGTTATAGTGCTAAATAGGAAAAAAAAAACAGGGAAGGAATAAATGTCATTTTAAAATCTTCTGCTGAACTTAACCACACAGTTTTCTCACTGATATTTGAAACAAGTAATTTGCAGACATTACATTCAAAACTGGCATTTTCAGAATAGTAATTACAGAGCAAATTGATGCAGAATCATCTACTGTTGATTTGTTATCTTGGTGCATTTTTTCTTTTTTTCGGACACTTAGGATTAGATAGCACATTATACATGTTATTTTTGCAACGTAAGTGGGTATAATTACAAAACAGGTGTAGAATACAAGGAAGTCTGAAAGACACACAGAAATTCGTGAGAGCTACACTGTCGGGTTATCAGAAGGGGCTTTACCAGAACATTCCAAATGGATTGTGCATATGACAAAATCCTTATTTTTTAGGGAAAAATATTTCATAGAATCATTGTTGGAAGAGTGCCTGACCATCTAGTCCAACCCCCTGCCATGCAGAAAAAGCCAATCAAAGCACCCCAACAGACAGCCATCCAGCCTATGTTTAAAAGCCTCCAAAGAAGGAGCCTCCACCACACCTTGTGGCAGAGAGTTCTACTGCTCAATAGTCAGGAAGTTCTTCCTAATGTGCAAAAAAAACATTGACTGTTGTGTAACTTTTTATGGAAATTGATCTTTGGCTTCTTCACCTTTTTTTCCGAAAAAAAAAAAGATAATTTTTTTTCATGTCAGGAGCAACTTGAGAAACAGCTTCTGGTTTGAGAATATTGGCCATCTGCAAGGACATTGCCCAGGGGATTCTCGGATGTTTTACCATCCCGTGGGAGGCTTCCCTCGTGTCCCTGCATGAGAAGCCGGAGCTGATTGGTGGGAGTTGACCCCACTCCCCGGATTCAAACCACCGGTCAGCAGTCTTGCCAGCGCAAGGGTTTAACCCATTGCACCATCGGGGGCTTCTTGGTTTGGATAAATTACCAAAGTTTAGTTCAATGAGACCCCATCCACAGCACATCCCATATCCCTTCTGGTTCAAAGTAAAGAAACAGTGGCCCTCAAGATGCTGGGTTGCAATTTCTATCACTCTTGGTTACCTCTAAGGCACTGGGACTGATAGGAGTATGTATAGCAACAAAGGGAGAGTCAAAGGTTCCCCACCCTTGCTGTTACTCACTGATTTTCTGAACAGCTAATAAGAAACTATACTGTATATAATTGATGGTCTATTTCTCAATTGCACCTCCCACATAAGGGCTAATTTACTATTATCTCTAGTAAAAGTACAGCTTGTCCTCCTGGAAATAGTAGAAGGGAAAACACTGAAACAGAATAATTTCCTGAACACGTCATTCAGTCTTCATTCTGAGCAGACAGTTTATCATTCAGCTTCAATGGCAATCTAAATATCCTGCTGGTTGTCCTAACTCTACTGTTATAAAATGGATATATTTGGCAAACTAGACATGACATCATCCATTTCTTCACTAAATGGGGGGCCAGTCTGGATGTTGGCAGCAGGGAAGGCCTCTCAGTTCTTCCCTGCCCCAACACGGATAGACACACAAACCACAGCCTTCATCCAAACAACACATCATGTCATTATTCTATATTGAAACAATCTACAAATGCAATCACTTTCCAACATAGCTAATGCAATTGTTGAGAGGAAATTTTCACTGGGAATTTGGCATGGGTTAAAAACAAATTTTGCAGTTTAACCTCACCTCAACTGTTGAGAACAAGTGTACAATTGCCCTAACATGATTAACTTTAGAAATAAACAAAAACACACCAGACACTTCATATCCTTGGTAGTACATCTAGATTGATAATAGGAGGGGATCTAATATCCAAAGATTATTAAATTGATGGTGACAACAACAACCTTTTTGGTTGAATAGGCCATATTCAGAGTTTATGGTGCTAATCCGGGTGTCAACATGCCAGAAAATACAGCTATGTGCCACATGGTCAGCCAGTATGCCATTTAGCTAGTATGGATATGGAACCATATCACACAATTTGCTCCAGATTTCTCACTAGATTGGAGTTGGACCTGAGTCACAAATGTCTCGGTTCAATAGAATAAACATTGAAACTGATGCTATCTACAACCGTATCAAGCACATCTTTCATTACACATTTCAGTTACATAGCTGGCAATAAATGCCGTCTTAATATAGAATAATGTCCGATCACCATTTCCCAAAGCAGTTACTATACTTCCAACTCATGAATGGAAAATGGAATGTTGGAGGACAGGAAAAGAGATTTAAAGATCAGCTTAAAGCTAACTTTTAAAACTGTGGCATAGACACTGAGAACTGAGAAGCCCTGGCTCTTGAGCGTTCTAACTGTGCTGTGGAATTCGAAGAGGCACGAATGGAGGGCGAAAGGGAGAAATGTGCCAAGAGGAAGGTGCGTCAAGCCAACCCTGACTGGGACCACCTTCCACCTGGAAACCGATGCCCTCACTGTGGAAGAACACACAGATCAAGAATCGTGCTCCACAGTCACCTACGTACCCACCGCCAAGACACTACGCTTGGAAAGCCATCATACTCGGAGAACAAGGGATCGCCTAAGTAAGTAAGTATAGAATAATGTGAACTGAAACCAACTTCCATCTATTGTGACTTCACTCAGTACAGCCCCATTGTAGGACAGTCTGTAGATCCTTCTGATTGCAATATTATCAGATTTCAACACAGAGCTGAGTTTTTCTTTATGGGAGTAACTGTTGCAAAGCAGTTGCAATCTTTTTTGGGGAAAAAATGTCATTACCTGCAATGTCAAAACTTGTGTAAGCACTCAACTTGAGAAGCACTCCCACACTACCATTCTCAAGGATGTACATAAGATGGATGAAACCTTAAATCTGTTTCCATGGCTATTTTCTCAGCTCCATGGCAACAATGAAGCATCTTTAACCATGCCTTATTCCTAATGGGTTTTGCTGATTGTCCTGGAGAATATATTTTTTAAAAAAATAAAAATTTAATTTTGAAAGATTTTCAAAGCTGGTTGGAGCACTGAAGTTAATGTAAAGACACTCATTTCAATTAAGTCTCTGAGGGACTTGTTAGATTAAATATATGGCTGCATTTCATTAGTCCAATTTTATCTTTTCTTTCCAAATAACAGCCATTAGAACAATAGAGATAAGATGTGGAATCGTAACACATTAAGACAGGGATTTATTTGTAGCTATTGATATCTCAGCTTGCGTATGTTTGTGCTCAAAAAAACTCAAAAAGTAGTCGGTCAATTGATTTGTTATTTAGACACAATGTAACATTCCAATACGCGTGTTTTAACAGTAAAATGAAATTGAAACACAATGTTGCATTCAAATACATGCGTGTATTTAGAGTAAAACTAGCAGTTCGGGAATAGACAAAGTGGAATCTGTGATGCGCAAAGCAACCACTCATAGCCTAGCTTTCATTTTACCACAGCAGTATAAGAAATGAAAACTGAGCACAAGCAACCAATCGCTACGTAGCTTTCCTTTTACCTCAGCAGTAAAAGAAATAACAACCTATGACTATCAACGAAGTGCAGGGATAATCTTTGAAAATGTGAGATTTGTATTTAGAAAACAATTGCTTCCCTCTATATGTCGCATGCTCAAGAGTCGGTAAAACGTCAGATCTTAATGTTTATGCAGAAAACGGACAAACCAAAAATGTAGTAAATGCACTCGGTTTACAATAAAAAATGATTTCTGTAAGAAAAAACTCTTTTTATTTTCTTTCCTTTCATTCCACATAGACACAGTAATGCAAGGCAGGGTATTCATTTGAATGATGTGATTTCTCGGTGAATCTATGTTTGCAACAATACTTTTATTTACTATCTCTTTCATTTCATATCAGAATGAGAAATACCAACCAATCATAGAGCAGCTGACATTACACCTCAGCAGTATAAGAAATGAAAGCTCAGCAGTGATTGGTTATTATTGACATACCACTCATTCCGACCGACATGGCGTTCCAGTACTAATGACTTCAATTTCCAATACACTTTGCATTCACTATGACTATCAATAAAGTGCAGGGGTAATATTGGCAAGTATGTGATTTGAATTTAGAAAACACTTGCTTTTCTCACAGGCACTTATACGTCACATACTCAAGAGTTGGTGAGTAAACCATCAGATCTTTATGTTTATGTAGAAACCAGATAAACCAAAAATGTAGTCAATCTACTAACTTTTCAATTAAAAAAATTATTTCTGTAAAAAAAAATCTTTTTCTTTCCTATCCTTCCATTCCACACTGACACAGCAACACAAGGCAGAATATTGTATTGAATGGTGTGTTTTCTCTGTGAATTTATGTTCGCAACAATTCTTTTATTTGCTATCTCATTCATTTCATACCAGACTGAGCCACAGCAAAGCATGGTCAGATTTGGCTTATACACACACACATATGAAAAAAGCTTTCATTGAAAGAAACTACTGGGACTATCAGTTTCAGGCAGCATTGTTATAGGTATTATGTGGTGGTATTAATCAAGCATTCCCTTCTAATCATGGTTTTGAGAGGTCCAATAGCTTTTGCTCAAATCACAATTTAAGCATTTCAAATGCAATCATAGATTGAACAATATATCTAGTTTTGATGCCCTAATTGGCCCCAATCCTAAATGTTTTTATATC